CAAAGCCCTTCTGAAGGGAAACACCAGGCACTCAGCAGGAGCTCCTTCAGGGCTCCTTCGGGGTAAGGAAACCTCAGGCAATGCTTTACAGACAAGGATGGTGCTGTGATCTCGACTGCACAGGGTCATCAGGGGAATCTGCTCCCCAACAGACGAGCCTGAAAGGCACATGGGCTGCAGATGGCTCACAGCCTGCCTGCCCCGCTCCCGCCTCACTGAAACCCAGCCAGAGCCACTGCTTCCCCTGCAGCCCCTGGCCAAGCCCCAGGATAAATACAGTGTTATCAAAATGGTCCCTCTTCCTCACTATTCACCAACAAAACTCCATCCAAAGTGTACAGAAATATGTCCCCCACTCCCATCAGTAAATCAAATTCAAGGGCAGCATAAAAACACAGGATGGACCCTTAATCAATAAGTGGCAATAAAGTACAAACACTCTTTGTGTAACGAGTTCCTTGTTGCCCTCTCTCCTTCTGCAGAGGCAACACACCTCTTTTTGAGACTGCAGCASATGCTGGACATTTGTTCTGGCATCAGACAGTGTCCTGGGATCCTTCTTTCTTCCCTCCCCCAGCCGATCAACTTTGCAGTTCAAGGAATACTAATGCTTCCCTCAAATCCTCGCTGAAAGACAAGGCTGCATTCTTCTACTCCCAATCCACAAGGTAACTGTTTAGTCAACCCAACTTGCATATGTAAATTGAATTCTTTAGAAACCAGAGTGCAGCAGGATTCCAGACACAGCACTTATGGGGTGCTCTGGGACTTTTTCTCTCTTCTGCACATATTTTTCTGGGGAGGAAAACAGCACTGCTGGCTAGAAATGGGTGGGAAATWGTTTCCCATTCTCTGAACCTTTTCTGAGATTTCAGCAAGTTTCCATTCTATGCTGGGACAAAGAAAACAACAAAAAAATAGGTCTTTGAGAGTTTTTAAGGAAGCGACTACAGGGAGCGTCGTCTGCCCACAGCAGCCAACAGCTGGCTTGTTTGGGAATCATCTGTGATCCAGCACATCCAGCCTGCAAACCCAGGGCTGCTGGCCCCTCCAGCCCCAGGGGAAGCACTTCCTTCCTCGCTCACCATGAGGCTCGGTTCTCTCCTTTTGTCCTGATGGAGCAGTTGCTCCACACCAACCTGCTGGAGAGAGTCCTGAGCTCACCTCTCCCAGCCACATGTCTGCCGACTGCCATCACCACTGGGCTGCACTGCCAGCCCTGCTCCCTACCCTGCTGTCTGATAAACCATTTCCTTCAAGTAGGAAGGCTCCAACAACATTGACTGAAAGAGGCTAGTGAAGCTGAATTGCTGTTTGATTTGGGGAAATAAAGTCCTGCTAAAAGATCTGTGCACATCCCAGGCAACTGTGCAGCTGCTGGCCTGCTGGCTAYGCTGGGCTGAACAAAGCCTGTTCCCAGTTAAACTGCTGATTGTGAATCAAGATTCTTGTGACTGCCTGGCATGAGGCAGCAAAAAACAGGGCTGAGATCCCCTCTCCAGCTTCAGAACTGGACAAAATGCAGTAACAGCACTGCAGGGTCATTGCTGCTATTGGTAACTATTGCACAAAAACATCTACACAGCCTTCCTGACATGAGGGACTACCCTGGGCCCAACTTGCACTCAAGATGTTTCTTCCCCATTCCCTGRCTCAGCATTGGGACAACCCAATCACTCTCAACATTGTGGCAAGTGAGATGGATTTAAGGATGATCTCCAATTTCCGCCCTGACATAAGAATCTTATTCCAAAKATCTGGATCTTGTTCCTAAAGCTGTCACCACTCCCTGATCTCCTTTCTGTTTGTGTTCTCCAGAGAGGAAATGGCTTAGCTTTGTACAGCACTTTGAGATCTGCTGCTGTACAGGGCTCTAACAGTAGCAGCGTCAAGTCAGTCTGGATAGACTCCTCTTGAGAGAAAATGGCACCTCCAGAAGGGCTGAGGGTAATCACACAAACCCCTGTGCTTAGGGGGAAAAAAAACCAGCTGCAAGAACTAAACACACTTAGAAAGCTGTAGCCATCTCCAGGGTCATCCTGTTCCCCATCAGTCCTTCCTGTCCCAGGGATGCTCTTGCACAACCACTCGGTCACCTGGAATAATGCACCATGCAACACAACTTCTAAAACAGAAACGTAAAAGACTGTTTTGATCTGGTGAACAGAACCTGTAACTAGTACCAAATGTACCCCATCAGCAATGTTGTGACACAGGAAAGTGATTAACTTTTCATTTGAAATTGTAGGCTTCCCAGAAAGTGGGATTAAGCCTGGATTCAAACTCTGTTCTTGGATTTCAAGTCCCTGTTTGGATGAGGAAATGGAACAGGAGAACTAACTAAAGGGTTGTTTAGTCTCCACTGGAACTGGCTGAATACCCCAGCGGTCTGGTACGTAAAACTCGAATCTGGTCTACTTTAGTGACTAAACTTCTCCTAGCTGCACACTGAAAATGCAGCAGAGATGCAGCTCTGGGCAGCCCAGCTCAGWCACTGTGTGAACACCTCAGCAGATGTGGCACAAGCTCCAGCTGACATTTATATCCCATTACTTTTCCTGACCTTAGACATGTGATGGAGTGAAAAACTGACAAAACCCGTGAAGGCACAGAGAAATTCTCCAAAAAAATGCAATTATAGGAACCAGAAAGGCCCAAGTTTACATCTGTGGAAGAACCAGCATACCCAGTATCTATAGCTCCCATGGACAGACCTGCAGATGCTGGAAGTGATGAGACACTGAATAGATCAGATTTAATATATGCTTATCTCCTGCTTTTTCTTTTGCAGGTGCCAGTGTTATCACAGATGAACGGTGGTGCCGTATGTGGTTTAACAAGAGCTACCTGTATTTTCAGCAAACTAATTCTTGTAAAGTTYCTATGTTCCTCAGCTCCCTGGGAAGAAAAGGGCTCCCTGAATGACAGATGCAGCGAGGTGGTGACTCATTTGGGGTTTATGCATGCTACTGATATTCTTGTCTCAGAAAAACACCATAAGAGGATGCTTTATTAAATTATCTGTTCAACTATTTACTTAGGCCCTGCTGATTTAAATTTTTGAAATAACTTTCTAAAAAGAGAAGGAGACACTGGCTCCTCAGCCAGCATTTCAGAGCCATCCATTACTGTCTGCCTTAATAATGTACAATTCTCTCTTTTCTCTGGGCGATGGATAAACCCAGACATGTGGACCAGAGACTGGTACTGGACTGTTGCTACTCTACACATTCTTAAAAAGCAGTGTTTTGTGTCACATTCTCGTAATGTTTGAAAGTTTCCATCTCATGCAGAACATGAAGGCCCAGAAAAGGCTTTCCAGTTAATCACCAACAAAGCTTTTTCCAAAAGATCACAATAAAAGCTTGGGTGAGCCCTGGCTCTGCAGTGAATCATGGTTATTAGCTTGGCTGCATGAAACCGAGACCTTTGATACATGATTCACAGTGGAGATGTTTTCAGAAGGCAAACAGTATGAGTCTTCTGCCAAGGGGAGTATCTCAGATAATGACTGATCTCCAGCAAACCAGAGGATGAGCACGTTGGTGCGCCGGGAGCCAGCCTGCACCACCATGAAAATAGTTGTGTTTGCTTTTTTCACTGGTTGTTTATCTGGCACTTCAGTGAGGCACTGCTGGTCAGAGATGGACTAATAAGGAGGCAAGGAGGAAGGAGTCTCGTTCATGAGCCCGAGGAGAACTTGGCAGGGCTGGTTTGCACCCATCTGCTATAACCACAGGCATTAACCCTTGGGAGGGAAGACAGAGCAGTCTTACTGACCAGCTGTTTTGTAGAAGGGAAGCCTGGGATATATTTTGGGTGTTAGAGGGCAGGAGGGTACCAAGGAGCACGTGCTCTCTCTTTCAGACAGGGACCCAGACTCCAAATTAATCTAGGAATTGGCAGCACAAAATGACTGTTCAGGTAAAACTTTCACAGCAGCTGCAGMCGAGAAGCTGTTTCTCCATTAGAAATACCTGTAAGCTCCCATCACTGAACAGCCAGAACAGCTTTTATCATTCCAARCCAGTCACTTTATGAAGCAGCAAGACCACAACGTCTTTCATCTTAAAAGCTCAACAACAGAAACTTTGAAGCGGTAATGAAACGATGCAGATCTCCACTCCAAAAATCATAATGGTCCACAGGCAAATCCAAAGACATCCCAGGAAACAGAAGCTGAATCCGAAAGTCAAGCTGAGACTTCTTCTTGCAGCAGAAATAATCACCAAACTGCCCTCTGTAATACCTGTATAAGCCCAGTTCCTCCAAAGATGTAGCGTAAGTAAATGGCAAGACATTTCCAACAGCTCTAAAAATCATCTGGACCTCAGATATGTTTCCAGAAAGACTCTACCCAGGGCAGCAAGTCAGACTACAGGGGTGACTCAGCATCACAGTGCTTTGCATGATTCTACTTCATTTGGCCAGGAGAGGGTTTTTAACACTCAGTGTTATCACAAATACCACATTCCTGCCTTTTTTTATTTCCTTGCACAAAGTACTACAATATTCTTTCCAYTGTGTCTCCCCATTCAGATATTTTCTCTCCTTGTGGACCTGAGAGATCCCAACCAAGATGAGAATTCCACTGTGCCTAGCATGGCTTTGAATGGACATAACCTGCCTTCGTCCCAGACACCAAGTAGGCAAAACACAGCTTGGGATGGGGAGATGGAGATRGAGCTTGTCCCTCGACACGCTCTGGTCACCCATGGTCAATGCAGKGGGACAGCAGCAATGCTGGGCCAGCCCATCTCCTCCCCGTGCTGCAGCCATGCCATCCTCCCTAARAGACCATGATGTACGTATTTTAGATTATGTGTTTTTTATATATATCTACGGAAGGAGGTGACCTCTTAAGCCAAAGTTATAGTGCAGCACCCAAAAGTTCCAGCAAGGCAGAGTGACCACACAGAGCACCCTCCACCCGGAGGGCAGTCCCATCCATCCACCCCAAAGTTTCAGCCACGTCAGGAAGAACCCAAGGCATTACTCACCATCAACGGGGCTGAGGTAATCGTGGAGGTGGGCTGTGCTGGCTGCTCCCCCGCCCTGCATGAGGAGGTCCCCATAGGGGTTTGGGTGGCCGGCCATCAGCGTCATTTGGTGGTAGTAGTCAGCGGGGTTGGCTCCCGGTGGTGGCGGGGGCAGCCCGAAGAGGCCTCGTTCCTTCAGATGCTCATGAGCCACTGCTGGCGCCGCGGGCGAGCAGAGAAACATGGGGAGAAGGTTCCCACCACAACGTTAGAGCTCGGAGCTGACGCTGGTGCCCCGTCTCCCCCCGCGCCCCCCGCCAGCCCTGGCCCCGCAGCTCCGTGGAGGGCGCGCGTGACGTGCRTCGGGGCGTGCTTCTGCGGACAAAGGAGACCGGGCTGGGGCCTCTGCATTCCTCCATTTCCGCAAATTTATAAACAATCTCTCGTTCCCCCTTCTAATAATCCTCCCGTTCGGACGCAGCCAGCACCCCTGGGAGGGGGGAGAGGGCCCAGGCTGCCGACAGCAGTAACCCTGTCAGCATTAACATCCCTGCCTATTAGGAAGGAAAGACAAATGCAGCCCAGTTCCCGATAGCAGCGTGAGGAAATTAAAGCCAAGGTCTAATGCATAGAGCTAGGTTTAGTGTCTGGCAGCATAAAACCATTTTGGCTGCCAAAGCCAATTACACTCACTTTCTCCCAGCTGTAATTTTTCAAACCTGCCTYCCCACCCGCTTGCCCCATTAACTTATTTACCACCACCTTAAACAAGGGGAAAAAAAAAGAAAAAATAAAAAAGGAAAACAAAAGCGACCCAAAACACAATGCCATTCTTCTACAGCAAACAATGAAAGTGGTTTTGGAAGGAAGGACATGGCAGAACACACACACCCCAACCACCAGATCTCTCTGTGGCGGGTGCTTGAGAGACCCGTTTTAGGGCAGGGAAGGAGACATATGCATTTCCCCCTCACTCCWGTGATGTTATTTTAGCCATACAAGAGTTTCATGCTGCCAGACACTAATCCAGGGGCCTTGCTGCTCTCTGGTGCACTTTGCTCTGCAGCGTTGAAGGGCTGCTGGCCCCTGCAGCAGCTCTGGAGCCGAGGGATGTTGGGGTTTGCTGGGCATGCACAGACCAGGTCCCCAAACCCCAGCGTTTCCCTGGGCAGTGAGCCAGCCACCTGCAACTGTAATGAAGCTCTTCTGATGAAGTAAGGCATGACTTACACCTTGCCAAGTGAAAGCAGTGCTGTGCATTTTCCCCCTTCCCTGTTGAGTGTTTTTGTCCCCAGCTCCCCGTCACGGGGTCTGATGTGGCTCAGAGAGCACAATCACCTTTGCCTGTACCGAGGGCGAGCATCCCACACACCYTCGCCTTCCCTGAAGGCTGCTGCGGGGCAGCTCGGGTGAAAGCAGAAACAAAGTATGGTCCCTTGCCTTTGCTCAGGAGCCACCCTGACCCCAGACACAGAGCCAACAGGGGAGAACCCAGCTGGCGTGGTCTCCTCTGCAATGTCCCAGCCCAGCCAGGCAGCCAGAACAACTGTGACCCTCTCTGGGGAAAGCTGGGCTCCCAGCAGAGACAGAAGAACAGGGAAGCTCCTAAGAGAGAAAGAGAGCGCTGCAGAAAGGAACGTACTTTAAGCAAAATATTTATAATATGATCCAGCAGTAATAGCTATTCTCACGCTCTGCTTTCTCAGTGCGATGATGCAAAACAAATGTGTAGTTAAAGGGGRAAAAAAAAAAACAGAAAGAAAAAGAGACAACTCTCCCACTTCAGAGAGCAGCTGCGGAGCGTTTGCAGCTGCAAATCCCCGGGTTTTAGGGAATTTCAGTCCTGGTGAGCTACAAAATCGCTGCAGTACCAGTAGCAGAGTATCTTACCGTCAGCGGGGCTGAGGCCCCTGGCAGCAGAGATGACGGAGAGCGTGGGGCTGCTGTGCACAGAGCGCAGGTAATGCTCCATGTGYGGGGCCACGTAGGGGTGCGGGGGGCTGAAGGGCGACTCGCCAGGCCCGGCRGGGTGTGGAGACAGGCGGATCAGGGAGATGTCCGAGATGACGGGGCTGCCACTCAGAGGAGGAGGCCTGGGAAGGAAGCAAAGACACACTGTCACTCACAGCCACCCGGGGCAGGCACAGCTGCCTGCCACCCTTCTCTGTCCTGCCCCACTGCCCTTGCCCRTGAGAGAGGAGTCCAAACACTTAGTGGGAAAAACTTTCCTTCTTGGCATATGCATAGTCTCAGGTTTTCCAAGCTTCCTGTGGACACACATCCATACTGCACCAAACCTGTATTTGTGCTTACTTGTGTAAGGGGCTCACCACAGCTGGGCTGCACATAGAGGCAGCATGGAATGCACCCTCTAGAGAGATCCCACCCCATCTCCTTGCACAGAGCGGCTGGCCACACAAAGACACTCGAGGCAAACCGGGGGTTTCCAAACTCCTCCCTGCCCCCAGGTATCCTGATTTTTAGTGCTGCCACGTGCAGAAAGCCCTGGACAGGGCAGTCTGTGTGAGGATGGAAACGGTGCAAAGGGAAGTTATGTGATGTTGAGCTGCGCTTTGCTCGCCCAGCACACGCGGCTTGGCCCGTGCCGGCACAGCAACCCCACCTCCTGCGTCCATCACGGCCAGCACAAACCTCCTTGACAGSTTGGTGGTATGGTTCAGAGGGCAAAAGTTCATGTGAGGTTTTACTGCATGCTTTCTGGGGGCCACCCCTCTTAAATCCCTCAGATCTTCCTCAGGCCAAGTGCTACCTGAGAAAGAAGTCAGTAAATGCTGAGGGATTCAGCAGGTAACAAACAAAAGTCACGTGCAAGTTTCGGTGCTTAAGCAGTTTTTTGAAGGGTGAACAAGGATATGGAAGAGAAAGTCTGCGGGCTTCTCTCAGACACGTGCCCTACTGAACAAACCGCAGAGGGTGCCAAGGAGAAAAAGTTACTCACCCTGACCTGAGAAGCACAAAATCTGAGCTAGACACCAAACGAGGCAGAGCTGTCATTAGGTAAAAAAAAAAAGATCAAAATCTGCTTTGTATTAGCTCTCTCTGTACTCACAGCATGCTGGAAGCAGAGCTGGTGTTGACACACAGGTCACAGCAGGGACAGTATTTGTCCCTGGCTGGGTGTTCTGGCAAAGCTGAGGGAGATGGATGTGCACCCCACAGGGCTGCACTCTGGGCACAGGAGACAACAGGGATTTGGAGGTCAGGGATCTGCAATGTGGGCTGATCTAAGGGAGGGTATTACAAAGGTCCCTCCCTAAGACTATCCAAATATGCTATTAGTGAGTACATGTACCATCAGCCTCTCCAYGCACAGACAACCACAAGCAAGATGGTCTGAGCAGTTTAGGCACGCCAACAGCACCTCAGGATCTCAGACCCACCCTGCTTTATCAACAGTTCAGGTGCATTTTAATTCATTTGTAATACCTGCATATCAACAAAATCACACAGCAATGTAATATAAGCTTTGCAGACTTATTCAGCAGTTTAACGAGCATGTTTGCCTTTGTTTGATCTTCCGTGTGTTTCTCTGTCTTTCTGATAAATTAGTAAACCTTGTGGCTTTTTGAACACTTTCTGCTGATGGGTAGTAAATTAAATGCTTTCTGAAATATTTATAGTTCAAAGTACTTTCCTGTAGCAATACGCTCAGTGGCTCGGCGGTGTGAAATACCAGGCAGTGAAAACCCACCAGACATGAAGGTCTTGCGAAGATGCACAGCCACCGAAACAGGCGCTCACCGAGCTCAGGCCAGGCTTTTGCCACAGAAACACCCACCAGCACCGACYTTGTTTTCTTTCATGACGCTGAAARAAAAACTGATGATGGCATGGCTATTTCAGACCTCGTAACCTCCCCACCTGTGTTGCCATGGCCTTCCATTACCAAAATTATGGGGTGACCAAAGTCACAGTGCGGTGCCTCTCGCCATGACGTCAGCCGTGGCGGCGGCAGGCTCGGGGAGCWGCAGCCGAGGCCGCCGGGGCTGGTTTCTGTCGAGGCTGCTAATAAAGGCATCCGAGCACGGAGCCGACCAATTTATTTCTACCGGGGAGGAGGGAGAAGTGAATCAAAGTCTCTGTTCCAGATTTAGTTTCAATTCATTTCTAATAATCTCCACCGCCTCATCTGGAAAAAATGAAACAGGATTAAAAAAAATGATGTCATTAAGAAAACATCTGACTAATTTTTCTTCTGACGAAGACTTAATATAAGTGAGGGGTGATGTAAATTAAAAGCAGCCCCAATCTTCCCTGGGCCACAGAGCCTGCCTTAATACATAAGCCATGAAAGAAGTTTTCTTACATATACAATAAGTTCCCTCTTTCATCAGTACTCACAGCTTCTCCCAAAAGGGTTGTGAACTTCTTTGATGCAGTCTTGGAACTATGTATTACCAGGTTTATGAGCCTTCGGAGCCTCTGCTGATCAAACTGTGAGGCCGACATCTAAAATGYGTATAACAATATGAAGGGTTTGCTGTTCATTTTCTCTGTGCTAAATTGGGCAGAAACGCTSGAGTCCCTCAGAATAGGAAAACTCCACCCTGTACAAAGAGGTAACACTGGGAAAAAGACCAAGAATTTCCCCAAAATACATGCAGCTGGAAACCCAGCTGGTGTTTGAACATGAGGTTGGCCCTGTGCACAAAGACTGGGCTGGAGAGCAGGCAGCTCCTTATGGCTCTGCTTAAAGCCTGTCCTTGCTCATTGTTCCATCTGTGGACTAGGACAGCYATATTCCCATCAAAGTCTGGCTCCTGTGAGCCCTCCCAGGCAGAGATCACCCCTCGTGTTGTACCCCACAATTCTATCAAAACAACATCCCACAGTGCGGCACATCACAAAATACCGCGGCTTCCAGGAGCTGCCTACCAGGAACCACTCACTCAGCCAGGGGCAACTTCTGCTCCTAACTCCCCAAAAGTTTTTTTTCCCCCTTTTTTCTCAGTTGCATTATTTCTTCTCTCATTCCTAAGAATCATATTTAGCCACTGCATTGGCAATGCAGCTATACAGTGAGAGGCAGCTGTACCCTCCCAGGTCTGCTCCTTGCAGAGGAGAACCATCACATCGTGTTCTTTAGAGGCAGTAGATGAGATGAAGCAGTGCCGGGGGAAGGCAGCTCTGTCCCCATGCCCAGCTCACACCCAGGGCACGCAGGGCTCTCCATGCCYRTGCCCCGGACCCTTCCTGCTGGTGYRGTGAACCAGCCCATGCAATGAAACCACGATGCCAGAGCTGCGTTCCTCAGCCTGCCCACAAAGCTCCCTGCCAGACCTCTGCTATCCCTATCACTCCCCACTTCTCTCCTGGATCCCACATGTAGCATGAGGAAAACACCCCAGCACCTGGGAGAGAGCTCCTGGCTTTGCTGAACACAATGCTGTAAAAATGTTGCTGTCTGCACCGGATGAGGGATTTCACCTGACCACATATATATCTGGAGAAAGTGGGATTCTGGTTTTCAAATAGGCTAAGGGAATTGGGTGTCCARACGCCATTAAATTTAATGTGAGCCAGGGGCCTGTTTTCCCCGCGGCTCCAGCGAGAAGCCCAGGCTCTATAATTAATGCTCAGGACTCACAGAGCAATTTGCATCTYTGACGAAGCACGTGAGCCTGGATTCATCTCCTCCCCCATCCAAAGAGGCTTTTCCTTTGCTGCTCTTTAACAGAAGGAGACACTGAGGTGAGGGAGACATCACCTGATGCCACCTAAGGGCTGCAGAGCCTCTTGGTGACACTGGGGACATGCAAGCTGCTGAAGGCTTTACAGAGCAGGTCTTTACCAGTGCAGTGGATGACCCTGCAGTGCTCTGGGARAGCAGAAATCCTTGCACGATTTACGTGGCTCCAGCCGCCTGCAGAGCAGAACTGTGGGGCAACACCAACACATGACAGCAGAGGAGCACCATCAGCAAAAGGAGAGATATCAGCATCTGAGACATGACACACACTGCCTGTGGGACACTGGGAGCCTTCTGGTGCTTTCCCAGGAGCTGGTCACTCCTTAATAGCCCTTCACTGGGGAAAAGAGATCTGCTTAATTTTCCTGACTCTTGGGTTTTGCTGAAAGGAGTGACAGCTCGTCTGAAGCTCTGCAATCTCATCCCAAAGATTAGGGGAAGGAGCTGGTAGTTTCCTGAGAAAACCAAGGCAAAGAAACCTCAGCCCGTGGTTTTCAGTGAGGCAGAGCACCGTGTTCCTGTGTGTGCCTCGGAGCCTGGTGGGCGCTTGTCTTTGATACCACTGCTGGATGCAGTGCTGAGAARGAATCCTCATGGGCCCAAAGCAGAGGAGCAGCATCCTCTCTGAGGAACTGGAAAGGGCTTCCGTGTAGGGAAAACCTCAGGGACTGGCAAAATCAGTGCTGGCAGCTATGAACAGGGCCTTGGGGAGACTTTTTCCTGCTCTCCCTCGGTGGACGTGCACCGGCAATCCCAAAACCTTGCGTGGAGGAGGTGTGGCAGCATCTCGCGGCTGCCGTGAGTCTGCAGCCTCTGCAAGGGGCACTCAGCAATGAATGYAACAGTTAAAGAAGTTGCACATTTCTGAAATAATCTCCATCAGTTAAATAAACCCCAGAAAAATGCAGACAATTACCAAGCACTAATGTTCCATGACTAGTCTAAATTAATACTTATGTGACAAATAAACTCATTCTGCAGAAAACAAAGGGCTGAATACTTTTCCATATGCTTAATRGAATATGGACACTTGAAGGCAATTGTTTTGCTCTACAATAAAGAAATGCATAGTTGCTAAACAGACATTGAAGTAAGGGAGAGAACTACTCATGGGGAGGGGTATCATATCCTGGTAGAGTTTTGCTATAAGAAAAAAGCTTGTAAAGCAAACAATCCCTTCTAAACCCCACATTAAAATCCTTGCTTTTGTTTTGTTTCACAGAAAACTTCCTAGCCTGTTTTTCCAAGTCCCATGTACCCAAAACACCACCTTTGTCTGAAGGGGATGGAGGAGAGCCACACAGACGACTGAAAAATGACTGYTCTCATGGCAGACACTGTATGGACGGGATGCCAAAGCTGTATTCAACAGGAAACCTAAAG